CGCAGCAGGTAAAATTTCACAGCTTATCGCATCCTACTACTCTTTCTCGCTCATGTATCCAACTGCATGCGAATCAAATCTACCTTTGGAGCATTTGGATACCCGACAGGAAGCCCGTGGCGCTGCAAGAAGACATATTCAGCGGACGAGTCGCTGCGCGCACTGTAGTGATCTAGTGAAAATCTCTTTCAGTCACAATCGTCCAGGAAACAGGACCGCAAAGGTCAAGCGACTTCACGGCCATCAATCCATATCTACTACGCGCCATGCATTCGGCTTTTCATTGGAACAGAGTCATCAGATCGTCTCTTGGCCTATAAAAACTGCAACTTCCAATGCCTTCAACTTTAAGTCACAGTTTTTAACTAGCAGTAATAATTATTCATAATAGACCTGTTACCATTCGTTTTCTTCAGGGGACCACGAAAAAATTGCTGGCATAGGGGACAGCCCAGGCGGAATTTGATCCTTGAACTACACCAACGCTAGCGGCATCATTTGCATTTGCCAAGTATTCGCCGGTGTGCTTGAATGTAATTGTTTTTCACGCTTTCCACTGAGAAAAAAGATGTCTTTTATAGGATAAAGGACGGAGGAAAGCATTGCCGTTGATCAATCCATTTTGGTTGCGGCACGCATTCTATTAGGTACCGGATATCTTAGTGTCGCTTTTCTGAGTTCAGGAAGTTTTGGGGCCGATTACTATGGAAAATCAATATCTCAGAAAGTCCTTTTTGCTCATTAATACTGCGAAATATGTTGCTTATTGTTTTCTATTGTTGGTTCACAATTTAACTTTCCCCCAATTTTTATACTTTTTTTTGAAAATTCCTGGGTCCAGTGTGCAAATTCGCATGTGTGTACCAAATGCTTCAAAATTCTTGCTGAGAGCTACAACTTCCGCCCACCAAACCAACATTGCATTTGTTGGAGGGAATACTACCATTTAAAATGCTCATCGGTTTTTCACAGTTTTCTCAAAAGACAGTGAAGTCTTTGAAGTGATGCCCGCAATCGTCGTCAAAAAGGTGGCCCTAGTTAAATCAGTCGAGACGGGGCTGCACCAGTCTTGTGCTGAAATGGTAGGACACCTTAGCAGTGACTGATCGATGATGCACAAACGCTTTAACGAAGTTGATTGCACAAGAAATTCTAATAAATGTGCTCATCTGCTACTCACGTGTGCTCAAAAAGGGTGCGTTTTTGACCCTATGTGGCAAAAAAGACTCCGGGAAAAATTGTCCAGTTGAGCTGGTAAGTTTAACTTTTCCACCATACAGTGCAGACCCTACTCTAACTAACTGTATACTTCTTTTGTCCAGGCCTAACTTTTTAGCAAGTGAGAGGGATGATTTGTCAGATGATGTCAAAACCGACCTACCTCTCTTTTTCGACTCAAAAAATTCCTAGCTTTAATCGTACGAGGTTTCCACTCATACTGGTAAATGGGAAAGGGCTAATGAGTCATTCGATGATATGCTGTTTCACTCCCCGGATTCTGAATTAAAATATTGGTGGTCCGAAACTCGTGGTGAAAAAACGACACTAAGATATCCGGTACCTAATAGTGGAAGCTAGCTTATGCTTGCCCGGGGATTTCGCTCAGAAAGAAATGGAATTTTTGTAGGCGGGGAACTGTCGCACCACAACCCCATTCTTCATGAACCCCAGTTTAGATTAGTCAAGACATGTCTTTACTAGTGCCTACTTATTGAAAATGTTTAGTTTATTTATTTGTAATTAATATTTAACTTAATGGTATCAACACTTACCGGTACGCACTCTTTGAGACTGATCGGCACACCGAAAAAAGCTGGCTTCGTGAAGTCCTCTTCCTGAGCCTTCCTATCCCATTCCAAAGCCCATTGTTCCGCTTCCTTAAACAGATTTTGCCTTGTTGACACGATTTCACTTTGCTTACTATTTATTTACCATCACTATATTGTAACCTCTAATAATCCGGGAAGGGCGATAAAACGACTTTGAGGGTAATCAACGTACTTTGACAAACATCACAACACAGTTGGTCGCTTCGTGAGCTTTTATCGCCTTCCACTGATAAGCTTGCAACACTTCGATGCATGACACGGCACCAGACTGAAGATTTTCTGAAACAATCATAGAAATTTGATGACTATATAGAGGTTGAAATATGAATCCCTATATGAATACCAATGCATGTT